GGGGTCTCTATGGGTTTCTGGGGGGTCTGAAGGGCTCCTCATGGGGTTCTGCAGGGGTGTGTAGGGGTCTGCAGGGGTTCTAGGGGTTCACAGGGGTTTGCAGGGGTCTGTAGGTGTTCTTAGGGGTCTGCAGGGGTCCGCAGGTGTCAGTAGGGGTTCTTAGTGGTTCTTAGGGGTCCTCAGAGGTTCATAGGAGGCTCTAAGGGGCTGCAAGGGTCTGTAGGGGTCTGTAAGAGGCTGCAGGGGTATCTAGGGGATTCAAGGGGGCTGCAGGGTGTTGTAGGTGGTTGCAGGGGTCTGGAGGGGGCTATAGGGGTCTTTAAGGGGCTGGAGGGCTCTGTAGGGGTCCTCAGGAGTCCTCATGGGTCTGCAGGGGGTTGTAGGGGGCTGTACGGGGCTCTAGGGGTCTGTAGGGGTTCTTAGAGGCCCTCGGGGGTCCGTAGGGGTTTGCAGTGTGAGAAACGCCAGCTCACACCTAGAATTTAAAGAGGACAAAGTCGCCGAAGCAAAGGTCTAGAAATTTATTATACGAAACAGCGCTGAATCGGGTGCATCTCAAAGTAGAGGCACACTCCCTGTTGGTTTCTTAGGTATCTTTAGACTTCTTCTCCCGGCCACCTGAGCCACTGTCTCCCTTCTCATTGGCTGAGAAGTTGGAGCTCACATTCTTCCCCACCGCCTAACTAAGCAAAGCACGTACATCTGTTCTACAAAATTATCATTCTAAACACCCCTATTCTAGTTGATTATGCTACTTGTTGCTTTGCAGTCTTTGCCATCACCTACTGCCCAGTGTTAATGATGACAAGTACCCTGGTAGTCACATCTCCATCAGTGACCCTCCAGGTGGCCTTTGTCTGCTTTATCCCTTATCTGTTTAACAGTCTGCCACCAGTCTTGGGTTTCCTGGACAGCCCCAAGGTGCCTCCAAGGATCAGTTAGACAAACCGGGATGAGACTCCAGTATCACTGAGCCACCTTTTCAATACAGACATGCTAACAGAAAAAAATAGCAATTAGCTGAAG